ACTTTATTTCTTTTTTTTTCTTTCATTCTAAATTCATACCATGAAGTTAACATGCTTTTTTTTTTATTTTTTTTTTTACCTTTTTTACTTGCCATTAACTACAGAGGAAATTAACATCATCCAACTTCATTTTTTTTTAATCTACAATAGATATTTACAAATTAGATATTTGTCTTCTTAAAGGCAGAAGAATCAGCTGATAATGTTTTTAGCATTTGAATTATGTATGTGTAGGGCAACTAGAATTTTTACTGAAAGATTTGTCAGAAAAGTAAAAGGAAGTGTTACAGTAACACTAGGCAATTATTACCGGTACTTGTTTAATACTTGCTTAATATATACAAGTCAAATTATTTAACCAGTATAGTTTGTATATTCTAGCTTTATGAAGAATGTCTCACATATTGACAGGAATGTTAAATATCAGCAAACCAAAGTCGTTCTTGACTGTTTGTGGGATGAAGAGCAGATTCCTCCACCTTACTGTGAAATAACTGCTGTCAGCTGAGGTTCTGCTCTGAACACACACACCTGCAGATGGCTCGCATTCCTGCTGACCCAAGCCAGGGAGATAAAGAGGCGAGCCTTGCTTCTAAATCTCTGCAGGAATGTGCAACACGCTGGACCGATCCTTTCAGGAAACTTTTAACTCCATCCTCCGTGTCGGTGTGTGCACAGTTGTACCCTCAGGAGTCGAAATCATGCTGATTTTATCAAAAGAAAAAACAAAAAAATCTAGTTTTATTAGTAGCCTTTCTACAAAGCAAGAGGGAAAAGCAAAGCTATGCCTTTACACTACCAACCCTCTATCAGTAGAGAAAAGGATTTCAGAGGCCTAAATGGTCACCTGCTGCGGGTGAAAATGGAGTCTTTGTGAAGATGCTTTTGTAAAAGAGGTAAAAGTCCAGATAAATGTTCAAACAATCTGATTTAATTTAATCAGTTATTGAGTTACTTATTTAGCATTTGAATGACTTTAAAGTGCGACTGCAAAAGACGCTGCGAGAAAATTCCAATCTGAGAATTGGCTACAAAAAAAACCTTCTTCTTTTTCTTTAAATATCCTCTATCCAGAACTCTCACCTGGTTCAAATGATGTATGAAATAAAAATGTTTCCTATCGAGCATACTTATTATTACTCAATTAGTCAACTTACTCAACTAAAGCCAACAGATAACACTTCCGTTAGTGAACAATAGCAGTTGCAGCAATAATCCAGTAATCTGAAAAATGGCTTCTGTACAGTTATTTAAGTTTAAATTATTTCTTTTTCATCTGTGGAACAGCTCAGTATGAAAAAATTAGCTTGAGATGTAGTCAAAGTTATTCTGGCCTAATTACCCAGGTTTTAAACTGAGCTCAACAATATATTTATTCCCAGTCATCATTGCAACATAGGGATTGTTAAGGACTACTTGGATGCCATTCTTGGCATTCTTCCTATTCTCAGCATCAAGCAGGGCGCCCCAACTCCCCATTGACTGCACATGCAGAAAAGCAATAAAACAAAATCCATAATAGGGAATCTGAAGTAGAGAAGCAATGCAGAAATAAAGCAACTTCTGTCTGTTTGCAGCTTAACTCAAAGGACATTTGCAATAGGTCATAAGTCAGCTAAGGGTAATATGTAGGTTCCATAGCTTTCTGACATAATTAATTTCTTCATTTGTGTGCCATTGTAGGGGGGGGAAAAATTTTCCCCAACAATGCCTCAGAGACTTTAGAGAATTGAATTGCAATTAAACAGAGTCAGAAGCATTTTTGTATAATATTATATAG